ATCAACCTGCTGTATGATAACCCGAAGTACCATCAACCTGCTGTATGATAACCCGAAGTACCATCAACCTGCTGCATGATAACCCGAAGTACCATCAACCTGCTGTATGATAACCCAAAGTACCATCAACCTGCTGTATGATAACCCAAAGTACCATGGGTTATTGTGCATTCTATTAACTCAAAGTACCATAGGTGTTATCGTGTATCCTGTGGAAACTACTTTACCTTCACCAGCATAAAGACAAGCATCGAATAAAACGAATAAACATGGAAAAGTAACATTTTACGAATACACGTACGTCACGCCACTTCACGTGACATCTTCCCACCCCGCATTCTTTTTTTCATCCGTTCATTCTCTATTGCGTCAATTACTGTCCAGTATTCTCCTTATATTCTCACTTGAGGTATATCACGCGATTGTTCACAACACTCTTGTGAATTTTGCTTAAATAGGGTAAGACAAGCAACTGTATGTGTGTATGTGTGTGTGTGTGTGTGTGTATGTGTGTATGTGTAGGTGTATGTGTATGTGTGCGTGTATGTGTAAGCGTATGTATGTACGCGTGTATGTATGCATGTGGGCGTTTTTATGTATATATGCGAGTGTATGTGGCGTGTATATGTTATATGTATGTGTATGTGTTAGTGTGTATATTTGTGTCGATATCTGTCGGTAAATGTATGTACAAAAGAAAGATGGCAAAGTACGAATAGCAGTTGCAGTATTTAGTTGAAGTGAGACAAACCGATCATACTCGATGTATGTCAGTGTATGTAATATATGTGTATGTATGTGAATATTTGTGTATGCATATGTATGTGAATGTATGTGTATGTTAGTGTATGTATGCAGCTTAACTAACTAGCACAATTCACCATCACTCAATAAACAAATAAATACAGCAAGTAAAAGGGACCAACAAATGGACGGAGTGACGAAGGAAGGCTCAAAATGATCGTTGTCATACAGCATTTCGGCCCTCCTCCCACACAAATTCATCAACTCCCACTCATTCATTAAATTGCAAATTTACGCATACATACAATTAGCTATATGTAGGTAGATGACTGACCAATAACTGACCAACTGACCAATTTTAAATGCCATTTTAACACGGGTTAACTATTAATATACAAAGGAGATGCCGATCTTTAGGTATAATCGTATAATGAAAGCATTCATTCTGAATCAAAAATAAAATAAAGGTTAAGCTAACCGGATAGAATTTATAACTGGACATTAAGCAGATGCATAGCATTTCTTCATGTTCCTTTTACTTCTGCAACCATTCCGTTGTTGTATGATTTTATTAATCTGTAGGTTAAGCAATCACCGGAAACGGAACAATTTATTCATTCCTGATATAACTTTATTCATAATGAGTTAATTACCTTATACATTTAGGTATTAACCCACTCATACGAATACGATTACACTTATCAGAAATAAAATATATGCACATGATAAGTTGATAAGGAAGTTTAGCTAAGAGGATATATTAGTAGGATATAAACAAATATATTATCCTTAATCAATTTTAACAATCGTTATCAGGGATATTTTTATATTCAATTTCAGAATTCAACCTTTGACATTTCATTCCAAGCAATCAATATAAATTACATCCAATCATTACTTGAATAATATTTTATATTCAAATTTCATCCTTAAAATACAGTAACAAAATGAGGCATTATTTAACTATGATTCATAATTTAAAATATATCCTAAAATTTATGTGAATTATCAATCACTATCCTAAGCATACTAATTGACTCATGCATTTAAACATGATATAAACGTATGTTGAGTAAATGAATCACCAGTATCATTTTGCTTAAAAAAAAAGAGTGAAAAGGTGATGTAAACAAAATAGACAATATATTTTAAATATCCCTTTAAATGCTATTTAATGAAATTTAGAATAATTGCTTATCTTAAATTAATTAATTCAAACATATCTTGGTGACATTTGAAAATTTCATCAATAAAAATATTGATGTAGAAAAAATTATTGAATATAATTGTAATAGATGTCAATGGATTAAATCAACAATGTTTTATGAAATTTGAACTTTCGTCAATTATCGATAAACAAATTGATTTGTATATTGCTATTAACTTACATTCTAATCTGATCTTTACAATTTTCATTCATTATTTCATCAACGTGATCAAACTGAATAAAAATATTTTTTTTTAATTTAATTTATTCAATTTTCCTTCATAAATCTCCTTTTTTTTTCTCACTTTAATAAAATAATAACAAATTTTATTCTTATTTGTTAATTAACTTTTCTTTTCCAATGAATATATATCTTAAACCATATTAAACTATTGTAAACAACTAAACTTATACTTATGCAATGTAAATTATGAGAGAAA